TGCAATTTTAAACTAAATATTAACTAAACTTAGTTTTTTCAATTACGTTTTCTAAGCCATTCTAAATCATAAGGAATACTATTTATTATAGAAAATATCAAAACCATTTACAAAAACATAAAACTATTATTGTTTTAAAAATTATTTTGTCTTCTAGAATAAAGAAGTAAATCTAACTCATAAGGATATATAATTGATAATAATAAAAACCATTAAGGCAATAAGCAAGCTGAAACATGCCGAATATTATCTCTATGTACACCTTATTTATTGAATTGAGTTCTGTTGTTGTCATAAAAAAGAAGGATATTTGTTAACTGTGACAGTAATAGTTAATCATTTTCTTTGTAGAAAAAATTGAATAAAAAACAAACTAAACATGTCAAGCTGACACTTGGTTAAGTGATTTAGATGCAACAATATTCTGTAATGCATTCAGAGTTGCCGAAATACTATTTTATAATAATGTAGCTTGATCTAACAAGTCGATTGGTTCGCGAGTAGCCTTGCTTGCTGAGTTGGAGCAATCGTCTTCTTTGGGTTTAATGGCGGATCGCTACCAAATGAAAAGCTCATGTAACGCCACTTATTGTACCGGAGTGCGAGTGCGGTCGTTTTCCGTAAATTCCTTAATTTCGCCGGAAACGAAATGGCATCCGGTAACAGTGAAATGGCTTCCGGTAACACAGTGAAACGCTCTCACACATACTACTGAAAAATACACTCTCACATACACTACTGAGTTCCCTATCAGGGAACTTCGAGCTGCGTGAAAACGCTATGGGAACGCTCTGCGTGAGTGCGTCATGAAGCACATGTGTAATCAGTCCAATGGCGTGACGGAAGAGGCTAGCTGTAAGCATTGCGACCGTCTCGCCATCCGTACACTTCGCTCTCGCCTGGCGCTTTTTCAGGAAAGCGGCTCGGTTCGCGTTCCCCGCGGTTCAGGTCCCGCCGCTGCCGAGGCACGGCGCCGACGGACGTCGTGGGGTTCGCAAGCGGATCTAGCATGCGGTTCCGAGACGGCTTCTGCATTTTCTCGGTCCTCGTCTACTAGAGCCAGTGCCTCAGCTTGGGGTTCGGAAGCACCCGCGCGGGTTTCTTCCGCCCTGGGTGAGGCAACTTTTTCTCAGCCGTCCAGTTCTGAGGAAATGGAGGTTGAAAACCTCGAGGCAGAGGCTGAATTGTTGGTTCAGTCACCCGCGAACGAGGAGCTGCTGGAGGTACTCACCCGAGCTGTGGGAAAGCTCAACATCGAGTGGCCGGCTGACAGGCAGGAGTCTGCTTCAACCAGTAAGTTGAATGAACGATTCTTGCCCTCCCGTGCTTTACCTCCTCGCCGGTGTTTGCCTTTCTTCCCGGACCTCCATGCTGAGGTGTCGAGGTCCTGGAAAAAGCCGGTGTCGTCCCGGGTGTTTAATCTGCGGACTCATATGTACTCGAATGTTGCCGAGGCTAATGTTCATGGGTACGGACCGATGCCGGTCGCGGAGGAGATACTGGCTAGCCATTTATCTCCCGCGGCATCGTCTCTGAGGACACCGGCATTGCCCTCCAAGGCGTTGAAGACTACTTCAGCGCTGGTGGGCAAAGCTTATTCGGCGGCGGATCAGGCAGCTTCCTGCCTGCATACTATGTCTATTCTACAGGCATATCAGGCAGAGCTGCTTAGCGACGGGGCTCAGGGGGAGACTGTAAGTCCTGATGAGGTTCGAGAACTTCGTCAGGGGGTGGATTTGTCTCTTCATGCCACTAAGGAGACGGCCAAATCAGTGGGCCGTGCTATGGCAGCCTTGGTGGCTACGGAGAGGCATCTCTGGCTAAGCCTCTCTGATATGAGAGATAGGGAGAAAGCCTTCCTTCTGGACGCGCCTCTTTCCCCCAACGGCCTCTTTGGCCCTGCTATTGGCTCGGTCGTCGAGAGGTTTCAGGAGGAGAGAAGGCAGGCGGCTGCCTTCCAGAAATTTCTCCCCCTGTCGTAGCCGCGTCGCGGGGGCTGTCGGACGGGGGCAGCCCGGCGCCGAGCACGGCACACCGGGCGCAGCAGAGGGTGAGTGTCGCTACTCGGGCGCCCCCACACGATGAGTGGGCCGGGGGGCGACGCTCACAGGCGGGGCCTTCGAGGGGTAGGACAGTTCCGAGGCCTGTCGCTACACCCAATAAGGCTTTGTCTAAGAGACCCTGACAGGGGGGTCGAACTGCTGGGGCTGGTCCCCACCAGGGGAGTAGTGAGCTCCTCCTGGTGCCCTCAGCGGGGTGGCCTAGGCGAGCGTTTTCCCGAGGGGCGCTCGCCTCCTCCGAGGAGGGGCCCAGAACTGTCGGACCAGTTGTTCCCTGCCAGTGCGCTGTTACAGGGCACTGTGTCTGCAGTACCTGTTACTCCAGAGGCCCCCCCCCTAGTAGATTTTCTGGCAGAGTGGAAGACCCTGCCGAATATATCTCAGTGGGTCCTGCGGATAATTTCAATGGGGTCCTGCCCACAGTGGTGGGCCCAGAGCAGGCTCTGGTACTGGAGCAGGAGGTACAGACTCTCCTGCTAAAAGGGGCTATAGAACGAGTTCTTCCTCTCAGCAGGGAGTCGGGCTGGTACAGCCGGTACTTCATTGTTCCCAAGAAGGATGGGGGGTTGCGTCCTATTTTAGACCTACGTCTGTTGAATCAGACGGTCGGGAGACTCAGCTTCAAAATGCTCACTCTCAAACAGATCGTATCACATATCAGGTCCGAGGACTGGTTTGTCACGATAGATCTGAAGGACGCCTATTTCCACATCTCCATCCTTCCACAACACAGGAAGTTCCTGAGGTTCGCTTTTGGGGGCGAAGCGTACCAGTATCGGGTTCTTCCGTTTGGCCTAGCACTCTCTCCCCGTACGTTCACGAGATGTATAGACGCTGCCCTGGCGCCGTTGCGCCTCCAGGGCATACGCATCCTCAATTACATCGACGATTGGTTGATTCTGGCTCCGTCGGAGCATCTAGCGGTTCGGCATCGAGATGTCGTTCTGGCTCACATCCACAAACTGGGGTTGAGGCTCAATGCCGGGAAGAGTGTGCTGTCGCCGGTACAGGTGACCACTTTCCTGGGCGTAGTCTGGGATTCGACCACGATGCGGGCACATCTGTCTCCTGCACGTGTGGCGTCAATCCTTGCAGCCGTCGAGCAGGTGAGGCTAGGCCAGTCACTCACTGTGAAACAGTTTCAGAGACTGTTGGGTCTGCTGGCAGCAGCGTCCAACGTTTTTCCTTGCGGCCTGCTGTTCATGAGACCGTTACAGTGGTAGCTCAGAACCAAGGGGTTCTCCCACGCGGCGTTGTCTCCGCACGCTGGTCATGTGGAGGAAGCCTTGGTTCCTAACCCAGGGTCCCGTGTTGGGAGCTCCGTTTCGTCGTGTTACACTAACGACGGATGCCTCCCTCACCGGCTGGGGGGCGATCATGAGTGGTCAAGGGCTCTGGCGGGGCCATCAGCTATCATGGCACATAAATTGGCTAGAGATTCTGGCAGTTTACCAGGCTCTGAAGCACTTCCTCCCAGACCTAAGGGGTCATCATGTCCTTGTCCGGTCGGACAACACATTGGTGGTTTTTTACATCAACCACCAGGGGGGTCTGCGCTCACGCCCACTTTACACTGTTCACCTCGTGGTGTAGAGAACGGCAGGTGGACCCAGTTAACTGCCCAGTGTTTGCAGTACTGGAGTTCCTGCAGCAACGCTTCTCTACAGGTCTATCCCCATCCACACTGAAGGTGTATGTGGTGGCTTTGTCCGCATGCCATGTCCCTCTAAATGGGGTTTCTCTGGGGAGACACCCACTGGTATCACGCTTCCTTCGTGGCGCCCGGAGGCTGAGGCCAGCAGCCGGCATGAGGGTGCCATCCTGGGACCTGGCCATTGTACTAGAAGGCCTCTCCCGTGCTCCGTTTGAGCCCATTGAGGAGGTCCCTGACAAGTTCGTGACCCTCAAGACGGTCTTCTTACTTGCCATCTCTTCTCTGAAGAGGATTGGTGATATGCAAGCGCTGTCGGTGGCGCCCTCTTGCTTGGACTTCTCACCCGGGATGGTCAAGGCGTTTCTACTACCTTCACCCGGGTATGTCCCCAAGGTCCCAACTAACATCGTTGGGCCTATTGTGCTGCAAGCCTTCTGCCCTCCTCCTTTTTTGACGTCGGACCAGAAGAAGCATAACCTCCTCTGCCCGGTGAGGGCCTTAGACCCCTACGTCCACAGAACTGCCCTGTGGAGGCTGTCCGAACAGCTGTTCGTGTGCTTTGGACCACCCAAGAGAGGGGGTCCTGTGTCTAAGCAGAGGATGAGCAAGTGGTTGGTTGAGGCCATCCCACTTGCTTACGAGTCGGCTGGTCAGCCTTCACCCTTGGCTGTTCGAGCCCACTCGACCAGGAGTATGGCGGCTTCAAAAGCTCTTTTGTCAGGTAAAGTGTCTCTACATGACGTCTGTGTTGCGGCAGGCTAGTCCTCACCGCACACGTTCGTGAATTTTACCAGCTTGACTTTAGCTCCACGCCAGGGGCGCAGGTGCTTTCGTCCGAATGTGCGCTCTGACTTCACATGGCGGACACTTGCTTGTATGGCGAAGTGGGTAGTGGCGTTCCCATAGCGTTTTCACGCAGCTCGAGGTTCCCTGATAGGGAACGTCTCCGGTTACGTATGTAACCTTAGTTCTGTGCCATACTCCCAGCATGCCCTTGGCACTTGCTTCAGCCCATCAGAAACTGAAGGTGCCGGTAATTAGGGGTGCTTTTATGACTTCCTGGTCGCGACGTCACCCGTCTGTGACGTTCCGTCACGCCAATTATGGCCTATACGGCCCCTCATAAGTCACGTTCTGCTATTGCAGCTATGTCTTCTCCACCTGCTCTGCATTGAACATCAAAAGTTTGAATGAGTAGACTGATGCTGTGACTTCAAACATCAGCTTCTGTGAGGACAGTTGCATAGCAAATTGGACCAGGGTGAGTTACAACAATGAAAAACGGAGGAGTTGTGAGCCCAGTGGTTGTGCATGCTTTGTATGTATGATGTCCTGGGTTCAATACCCAGCTTCTCCTCAGGTCGCTGTCGCAAAGAAATTGTTCTCCATCGGCCTACCTGGTTAAATTAAAATTTTAAAAAATGTGGAGGAAGCGTTCAAGAGTGGGGACAAGTATCGATTCAGAGAGACAAAGTGTAGCTTAAGAAAATCAGTGAAGGAAGCCAACAGCTCTGTATGGAGAGCTATTGAATCAACAGCTCTTAGCGAACAATACTGTTTCGGTTTGGATTGACATAAAAGAGATAACGAACTACAAAGTTAACCCCCCAAGACACCGACGACCTGTGACTTGCTAATAACCTGTATGAGTTCTACTGCAGATTTAAAAGACAAAAGCTGTCACACCGCCAGAGGAGGCTCTGACACTGATGTGCCCACTGTAATCACCCACGTCAGATACTGGTGACTTCAAACGTATATAATGCCCTCAGGGAACTCCAATACCCTCCTAGCCCACAAGATGTTCTCAGTGGGCTACAGATCGTTACAGTACCCTCCTCCTCCCAACTCCTCCAGGAGCTCAGGCGGGTCCGGATCCGTCATGCTGTAAATCACAGAAAACTTCAAGAAGTTACAGGTACTAATATGCTACACCTACATTTTATCAAGACACTTGTGTCATGGGAGGTAGTTGATGGAAAGCCATTAGTTATGGGTTGTCCTTGTTACAGGGACAGTGCCAGCATCTTGGTGGGAGTGAGTGAAGGTGGTGGACCCCCATCTGATTTCTGGGCCTCAGCTTTCTTCCTGTTCGATTTATTGAACAGACAGATAATTTAATAATGAACACAACGGAAGTTACAGGTTAAAGTTTAGAAGTGTAGAAAATCTTATCTTCTTGGAGAATTGTCAACATCTCCCCCGAAGCTCCACAGTCATTGACGTGTGGTCTTCGGCGTTCATCGTCATCTCCGTTTATGTTAATCACCTAATTGTCCTGTCACGTCATCACACACACCTGGTGTCCCTCCTAATTAGTGTGTCTATATAAGCTCCCTGTGTGTATGGTGTCTTTGTGTGGTATTGTTTGATGTCATTTCAACTGTGATACATGCGAGTTATAGAGAGTTAGTCTCTCGTTCTGTTATCTTCAAATTGCTGCGCTGCGTCGCACCGTTATTTTGTTAATTAGTGTACTTTTGAGTGCTAGTATATTTTGGTCAAAATGTACAATGTTAGGAAATTGTTGGACAGCAGAAATTACAAGTGGATTAATGTTCAATTTAGCATTATAATGAATAATTTTCATATAATGGAAACTGAAGTCACGCATTTACACAATCTGTTATTCTTTGCCAAGCCAACTCGCTGTCTTTTTCCAATGCAATAGTATTGCATCTTTGTAATATACCTGTCTTAAATTATTTGTATGCATGCAGAAAAACAAAGTATTGGAAAATTTGTGACGCATCTGGTGGGAAAGTTTGCAAAGCTCGTTTTTTTTCACGTTGTGTTTCTGTAGACTAACTCACCCTATCCCTGTGACTCCTGAAATCGCCAATCCATTTTTTATGTCTTTATGTACTTACAGTGCGTGTTTACGCTGAGTATCCAATTTTGGAGGTTGATTGATCTAACTCAGAACCGGTGTTCTGGAATCGGCTTGTATGCAATGTTTGGGTTATTCAACCGAGAGTTCAAGGTGTGAGGGTAACTTAAGACTGCTTTCTGGAACACCCCCCAGAGAGGGATTTAAACCAGAGTTGTTGTGTAATTAGTCTGGAGCCCAAGAAGCCTTCCTTCCATAATGAAACCCTCATTGGGTTGATCCACTACACATAACAAAATACCCCCAAGCGCCCCCAGAGAGCATGTTGGAGACATCCCAGTGTCTTATGACGGACTTATCACAGAGCATTTGAAATGCCTCCTCCAAATTAAATGTCATCCCGATCCTCTTTTCTCACAATGCTGAGTGGGGCCCACTGCCCCACACATGGAGCGTCTTTCACTTGCCGTCCAGTGAAATAATGTAAACACAGTCTGAAATGGCATCCCATTCCTTACACACTGCATTGCCGTTGACGAGGCCAAGTACGTTTCTGGTCAAACGTACTGAACGGTAGTTTGACATACAAGACCTAGTTTAATACTTTGGAATGGTGTGTCCCATTTCTTCATTTTTCTTTTATTGTTATAAACTTTGATTTGACAGGACTGTGACACAGGGGAAGGGTTCGAGGATGTGCTAGAATAGCAATGGCAGTATTTGGACCCATGCTAGCACAAGTATTTCTGTTTTGGTGCCGGCAGCTTTAATTCCCCCACACCGCTGATGATTAAAAGAAAAAAAGTCACTGTAAAACAAGTCATTTGTAATGTCTATTGCATTTGAACTACATACAATTTCATACCATCCAAATGCAATGTATTTTGCATTTGAACTACATACAATATCACACCATCATTTGAACTGCGTGCAACTTAACACAGTCCAAATGCAATGTCTATTGCATTTGAACTACATACAATATCACACCATCCAAATGCAATGTCTATTTGAACACGCTGGATCATACCACAAGGAAACACTGAAACTTGTTTGTGTGCTATTTGATTGACACCTTTCATCTGATGAGCATATAAAGCAAAAAGCGATTTCAGCACCTTGCGGGTGCTGTATGCCTAGAAGAAGCCTGCTTGCTCCATTTAAGCCCATTAACAAATGGTGATGAATGTAATGAGTTATTAAACATGTTACAACCTCTTATAACGGGAAGTGGAGAATGCGACTTGTGTCGTGTGTCTTTATTTCTGCCTGTGCGTCTTAAGCCCAACATACTCTGTTAAACACCTTGTGTCGGTATTTTATCTGCCACTAAAAACATTGTTACGGCGAATTCAGTATTATTTTGGACGTGTTCAGACGGCGGTAAACCACTGTCCAGGCCCCTAGTATTGAGCTATTGCTCGGTGCTGGAAGTCTGGTTGACGCAAAGAAAATAAATCAAAACATGCCACTTTCTAACAATATAAATTCGTGGGTTAACTTGTTTTTAAAGTGCCACATTTTGGATACATAGCGGACAAGGAAACACATAAACCCGTCTGTGTGCTACTGTATTGAGAGCTCTCATTTGTTAGTTTGCGTTCAAGTGTCCAATCACTGTGTTCTAAGGACAAAACACACCGCCCAATGAGAACAGCTCTATGAAATAAGCTATGTCCCGCCCCTTTGCATTTGGACGCTCAACAAGTTCCACACCATCCAAATGCAATGTCTATTGTATTTGAACTGCATGCAACATCACACCATCCAAATGCAATGTGTATTTATATATTTAAGTATTTATATATTTAAGTATTTGTATATTTATGTATTTAATTATATATTTAAGTATTTATATATTTATTTATTTATTTATGTATTTATTTATTTATGTATTTATATATTTCATAATATGGCACTCATAGTCCTCCATATTTGATAAGGGTTTTATATACAAAAAATACCATCCATGAAGAGTTCACAAACCTTCGAGCACCACTGTACAGTGAAGGAAGAAAGTATTTGATCCCCTGCTGATTTTGTACATTTGCCCACTGACCAAGATTTTCAGGTAGGTTTAGGTTGAAATGCGTTATTTTTTTGTTGTTATTCTGTCTCTCACTGTTCAAATAAACATACCATAAAAATTATTGATTGATCATGTCTTTGTCAGTGGGCAAACATACAATGGGGAACAGAAGGGGATCAAATACTTTCATTCTTCACTGTACATTGGTTCACAACCCAGACTCTGGTCTAAGGTATTGCTCTAAAACAGGGAAATAGATACATATATTTAGAAGCAAATATCGATGTTGGGTGTTAGGTTTTCGGATCTGCACATGTCCAAGCTATCAGGTCACTGACTTTGTACTTGGGGGGAAAGGGGTTAAAAATAGCCCCTGAAGCTATAGCTTTGAGCTTGTAGACTTCTCGCTCATTTAGCCATACAGATAAAACTAAGGTACGTAAAAGCATGCTGCCAATTATATACGATATAAGATATCCAAGTATTCAAAAACTATTTTATGTTGCTGTTGTGGATTTGTAAGCTTCAATGTCAGTTTGTGTAGATGAGAGGCCTGTTGTCTTGGGGTTTGGATGAGATTTCTGTATTAGTTGGGATCCTTAAGCCTGACCTTAGCCTGGTTCTAATTATATTTTGTCTGCGTTCACTGTGCTTTTGGTGATGTTGACTCATACATTTTTATTACCTATTACTTTTCCACAATTTTCTGACACTGTTTTTTAACAAATATTTCTGTTCTTTGAACATATTGAACATATTGTTAAATATGACAGATTGTTATATATATATATTATGTCTCATGATATGTTACTTTTATCTTATTAAAATATAAATTCACTCTTAAATATAAACTTACTTTTAAATGATGATTACTAGGTATTCTAATAAAATCACATGTATTTTATGTACGATTAAAATCCTTATAATTTAGGCATTTTACCACTTTTTACTTAAGGAAATTTTTTGACTTCCGTATCAACACTGCAGAGATATTTTATTTGTACTTTTATTCGTACAGGTATGTTAATCAATTGTCATTTTAAATGGCTGGAAAGAATGCAACATTTATGGATTTGTGTGGACTGTAGACGTGGAATCAAGACAATGTGATTGTGATTCTGATTTATGCCAAAATAGATCAAACTTTGACTAATACAATTTGAACACACTCTGGAGGATCAGAGCTTAACTGAATGTATTTTTTGCATTTAATATTGTTGGATATCAATGCTTTGTGACACTTCCTAAAAGATATTAGCTTTAGCATTGTTTTTATGCATCTGTTCCTTTCTTGTGTGTCAGAACTTAATTAATCCAATGCATTATCAGGGCTATTTTTCATGGTAAATATTAAACAATATAGCATTATTAAAATATCTTTGAGAGTTTGGTAACCAGCTATGATACTTGGAGTTATATATTTTGGTAAACAACATTGCAACATTTCTGAACTTTTTAGGCTGTCAGCCCCCAGGCTGGAAGGACTTTTTAGTCTTGT